TGACCACCTTCCTGTTAATTAGCCATTTCATGCTTCATAGAGTCAAAGGCCTGGAAGTCTGATGAAGAAACTTACATTAGTTAGCCTTGCCCTGGAGTAGAAGGTGGGGTCTGTGTAGCTTTTGTCAATGACTTTTTGTACTTTGTAGGGGCTCAATAAATATCCTCGTATTTTGAACTGAAACTTCTTCCAGAGGCCTTTTCTAAATAAGTTACATGCCCAAATACATAGTCCATGTCCCACCAAATTAATCACATAATAGTCCAAAACCAAAATCTCAACTGCTAAGTAACTCCCCAAGAGTTTGATTGTGGGCAAAAGCATAAAGTAGAAAGTCTTTTGGAAAAGGTTATCTTTAATTTAAATAGGCAAGGAAAGAAAAGATGACAACAAAAAAACAGCACATTCAATGAATGCCCCATAAACATATAAAATACAAAAACGCTTCCACACTTTTTTTCTTCTTGATCCCTTACCCAATTCTGCCTACCAGAAAACTGACACAGAAAGAAATTAAGGGTGAAATCTTGTGGAGAAGCGCCTAGATCAAGTGCTCCTAACCTTTCCATGGAAAGCTTTGAAAGGAGCTATTCATAAATCTTGGATAGAGCAAGAAATACAGTACCACCATCCACTGCCTTTACTCCAAGGAAGACATTCATTATGTCAATACTCTTACCCCTACAACCATTTCCTTAAGAGGTCAGCTTTTCTTTCCAAAGAGGGAGTCACTTCTCAATGTGAAATATTTGCCCTTCATTTAAATTCTGGCCTAATCAGATCTATGCAAATGAATAGCAGGAAATCAATTTCATACCTTTCTTCTCTGTCACATAATCAAGGAAGGGCTGAGGCTCAGGCAATGTCTTCCTCAGCTTCTAAGCTGCTGGTATCAGCCATTGCTTCCATGCCCCCCCTCTCCCATTGGCTCCTACCTTTAATCCCACATGTGATGGGGACTGGGTTTTCCTTACTACTCCTACTAGCAGTAGTACTGGGAGCTCTTCCCATATTTTCAATCCAGGATGCAAATTCCACTTTCTTGCCTTTGCTTTAGAGAACTATACATGAACATTGAACCATTGGGGGAAAAATGGCACATGCATTCCTCCACCAGCTGGAGTGGTGCTGGCTCTTCCCGCTTCTCTTGGTCTAAAGTCTCAAGGACCTCCTTCATCCTCCTCCTTCACTTTAGTCTGAGACCTGCCCAGCTCTGTGCATTAGCATTCAACAGGGAACATTTAAGGGCACCGCTTGCTGGATTATACAGTTAACATCTAACTGGCTGCATGTCTTAGAGTGGGAGAGGTCAGGAGGAGGAATCCACTTTCATCTTCTTTTTCTTTTTTTTTTTTTTTTAGCTGAGCCATCCTGCCACCTATTGGCAGCTCAGTGGCCGCTCAGCTTGGGCCAGGAATCGAACCGCTGTTGCTCAGAGCTCTCAGTCTTGAACCAACTGAGCCACTCAGACAGCCCTACACTTTCATCTTCTTAAAAGCTGTTTCATTGGCTCAGGATAGTTCCCTCCTTCTCTTTTCCCTGTCCTGAAATGCCAACTATTATAGCAACTCTTCTGAGTTAGATTAGCTCAACAAATAAACACTTGCTAGGCACTGGAAGTCAGGGATGAATAAAGTGTGCCTTGAGCTAAACTTCATCAGAATAGTTTGCTAGCCTGACAGGATTATTCAGTGAGTTCTTTTACTTGTTTGTTCACTAAACATTTGTTGAGCACCTATACGAGGATACGGTGCCCGGCCTTTGTATAATATGAAGCCCAAGGGAAGCTCAAACTAGTGCGACAACTTCCATGCCCTAGAGGAATTCATGGTCTGGTAGTGAGAAAAACTTAATCACATCATAAAATGATAATACAGCATGTTAAATGTTGTACTAGAATGCTCCGTAAGAGTGTGGGTACAGAGGGGAGGTGGAGGGACTCAGCTATCTACCAGAGCCCTCACCCCTGCCCACCTTTACCATCTCTTTATAGTCTCTATTTGACGAGAGTTTTTCTCATACTTTCCTTTATATATGGTATTCTTTAACTCTGAACATTTTTAAAATAGCGGATTTAAATTCTTGGTCTAGGAAGTCCAATATCTTGGCTTCCTCAGTAACAGTTTCTATTGACTGAAAAATTATATTTAAAAAGGTCATATATAAATTTTGAGTTGAAAAGTATAAAAACTGAAATGAAAAATTCACTAGAGTGGCACAACAGCAGATTTGAGCAGGCAGAAGAAAGAATGAGAGACCTTAGATATAGGTCAATTGAAACTATCCAGTTTGAAGAAGAGAAAGAAAAGAGAAAAAAAATTACAGGAGCCTTAAAGACTTTTAAGACACCATCAAGCACACCAACACACACATAGTGGGAGTTCCAGAAGAATAGGAGAGAAACAAAGAGGCTGAAAAAACATTTAAAGAAATCATGTCCAAAGACTTCCCAAATTTGATGAAAAGCACTAATCTACACCTCCAAGATGATCTATAGACTCCAAGAGATATAAACTCAAAGAGATCCACACCTAGACATATCACAATCAAACTGTCAAAAGACAAAGAAAAAATCTGGAAAGCAGCAAGAGAAAAGCAACTTGTCACATGCAAAGAATCTTTAATAAGTTTAATAGCCGATTTGTTATCAGAAACTGTGGAGTTTCTTATGCACAATACAGTGGGATGACATATTCAGAGTGGTTAATGGAAAAGACTTATCAGCCAAGGATACTACATCTATGGCTAATTGACTTTCAACAAGTGTATTGTCTTCATTTGGGCTGCTCTAACAAAGCACCATAGACTGGGTGGCTTATAAGCAACAGAAATTTATTTGTCACAGTTTTGGAGGCTGGAAGTCTGAGATCAGGGTGCCAACATGGCTGAGTTCTGGGGAAGACCCTCCTCTGGGTTGCAGATTGCCGCCTTCTCATTGTATGCTAACATAGCAGAGAGCAGAAAGAGAAAGCAAGCTCTCCCATTGTATTTACAGAAACCCATTCAACAGGGTTCCACTCTTATGACCTCATCTACTCCTAATTACCTCACAAAAGTTTCACTTCCTATGCCATGACACTGGGGGTGAGGTGGGGGGCGGGGGCAGGAAGAGTTTCAACATATGAATTTGGTGGAAACAAACATTGTTATGGCACTTGAGTCCATAACAAGTGCCAAGACCATTCAGTGAGGGAAAGAATAGTCTTTTCAACAAATGGTTCAGGGACAACAAGATATCCACATGCAGAAGAGTGAACTTAGACCCCTAATTCACATCATACACAAAAATTAACTCAAAAGGGTCAAATACCTAAATATAAGAGTTAAAACTAAATTCTTAGAAGGAAACATAGGTGTAAATATTTATAACCTTGGATTAGGCAATGGTTTCTTAGCTATGACACCAAAACACAAGTGACCAAAAATAATCTATAAACGAGGCTTCATCAAAAGTAAAAACCTCTGTGCTTCAAGAGATATCATTAAGAAAGTGAAAAGACAACCCACAGAATGGGAAAAAATATTTGCAAATCATATATCTGATAAGATCTAGGATCTAGATTATATAAATAATTTTTACAACTCAACCATAAAGGACAAATAACCTAATTTTAAAATGGGCAAAGAAGTCGAATAGACATTTCCTCAAAGAAAATATATAAATGGCCAATAAGCACATGTAAGCACATGAAAATATACTAAATATCACTAGCATTAGGGAAATGCAAATCAAAACCACAATGAGCTACTACTTCACACCCACTAGGATGGCGACTGTGATAATAAAAAAAGACAATAACAAGCTGGTGTGAAGGAGAAATGGTGCTGCTTTGGAAAACAATTTGGAAATTCCTCAGAAAGTTTACATAGAGTTACCAAATGGCACAGCATATACTGGGGGTGCCAAAAAAATGTATACAAGTGGACACTTCGGTCAACGTTGCTCAAGCAATAGTTTGCCATAATCAGAAGTGTCTGGACGCTGATAGTAACCATTTTGAGCACCTCTTGTAATTGCAGAAGTCAAATGTGACTTGTATTCATCTTTTGTTATGGATATATATTGAGTATCACAATTTTAATATGTCTTCCTTTCTTAAAATGTGTATACATTTTTTGGCACCGTCTGGGCTATATATATATATATATATATATATATATATATATATATATATATATATTCCATAGGATCGCATAAAAATTTGTACACAAGTTTCCATAGTAGCATTATTCACAATATCCAAAAAGTTTAAACAACTCAACAGGTGAATGAATAAATAAATATGGTATATTCATACAATGCTCTTTTATTCAGCTATGAAAAAGAATGAAATACTAATGCATGCTACCACATGATGAACACTGAAAAAATTATGCTGAGTGAAAGAAACTAGCCAGAAAGTGCCATCATTGTATATGATTCCATTTATATAAAATATCTGGAATAAGAAAATCCATAGAGACAGAAGGTAGATTAGTTGTTGCCAGGGCCTGGGGTGAGAGAGAAGATGGGGAACAATTGCTAATGGGTATAGGGTTTTTCTGAGGGGAGGGTCATGAAAGTGTTCTGGAATCAGATAGTGGTGATGGTTGCACAACCTTGTGAATAGACTAAAACCCAATGAATTTGTACACTTTAAGAAAGTGAATTTTATGTTATATTAATTATATCTCAACTTAGAAAAAATGTAGTACAGCATCTGAAGTAGTATTGACCATTTAAATCTCCATTAACATTTTCTTGGGTGGCTTTGGGATATTGGATAGAGAAAGTTGATCTTGGCAATTAGGTGTGTTGTGGGAGACACAGCTACAAGGGACACACCCACAAAATAACCCACAAAATCTAAAGCAAGCACAGGTGCTTCCAGGTACTATGAAAATGTGTCCACAGTTATTTTCTTGGCAAGTCATTTTAACAATATCCCCAATCTGCACACTAACGACAAAGTTGTAAACAGTATAACTCTCCCGACTAAAGTCAACAGGGATAACCTTACCTTCAATATTGTTTTGTTGTTCTAGTAATAATTTACTTATTTCTGAAAACCAACAATCTCTGATTTCTTTTGAAGCTGCCTGTAATTACAGATAAGAAAATACTGTGAGTATCACATCTCATGCACAGGGCTTTTATTCTCTGGGCGACCTTTAGAATAATGAGATAGGACACACTTGTCAAGTCTTGGGAACACGGTAGGGAGAGTAGAGGTCACCTGTTGGGAATGGGCTTTACCTGCAGGATGTATTTCTCAAGTCCATTTCGGTTGCCAATTTCAAACTTTCTGTTGCTCCCCCTTTCAAGTTGGTGAATTGAAAGTGTCATCAACTGTTGTAAAGAAATAAGAACATTTTCTATACCATCAATTTCTGATTTCTAAGTTGTCACCATCAGCCTACCCTAATCCTCTCTAACCCCGTCAGCTCTCTCCTTCCATCTTCCTTCCAAATGTTTTGCTGTCCTCTGTTAATGGTCCCAAGGAGTATAAAACACAATCTGGTACAGTGTCATCTGTCTTGTCTGTTTCATAGGACAGCACAGACTACATCGTCCCATATGTAGTAGAGCTGTAGCCGCAACCTTTAAGCTAAGAGATCATCTCTCCTTTAACACCTAAGTATCTCAGAAATCTCTACATGATAGTAACTGAATTAGTATCCATTAAGAAACATACATAGCAAAAGCTACTATGAATAAATTAACAACTTTAATCATAAGAACACAAATTGTGTGTGTGTGTGTGTGTCTGTGTGTGAGAGAGAGAGAGAGAGAGAGTGTGTGTGTGTGTGTGTGTGTGTGTGTGTGTGTGTGTGTGTGATTGCTAGCTATGAAACATTCCCTATATAGGTGAGAAACAAGGCTTGATGTGGACATGGGTTCCTAGAATCTCCAGGGTCAGGATTCTTCCTATACTTGTATGCAGAAAAGCCAGTTGGAGATTATAGGCCAGCCCATGCTCTGATCACTAAGTCTTTCACTCCTCTGCCTAAAGGAAAGAGGGCACTTGTTAATTACTTTATCCAGACAGGTGGCTATACAGTCCCTGTTCTCTATTTCGCACCATGTCACCTCTATTCCAGCCCTAGCCCTGTCTAGTGACTGATGACAAGCCCTGACTCTGGAGTCAGATCTGGGTGTGGATTCTAGCTCAGCTGTGTGGTATTTGGCAAGTTAACCTCACCCCTCTAAGCTTCAGTTTCCTATTTGTAAAATAAGGATAACTGCATTTCTCTCCATAGGGTTGTGCTGACTCCCAGGTGCAATAGGATCCCTTTACCTTCATAGACTTCTTAAAGCTGTAACGTGGAGATGGGCCCTGGTCACTGGGCTCCATTCGTATCTTACAGAACATCATCCCCCTTTCAAATAGATAGATGTGCCTCTGGCTGGGCTTAAAGCGAATAAAATCCTTCATCTTATAACGATCCTTGTGAACTGTCCAGACGTTGAAAGAGTCATGCATCAACAGCTTACCCAGTTTTCCAATATCATCCTTTTGGAAACAGACACACACACAGAAAGACACTGTTAAATTACTTGACAGGGAAAGAACTCTTACGAGACTTTTCAAATTATAAACCACGCTTCTTTAAAGTTTACAATGTTAAAAGTGCCACTCGGGGGAATCCGTCACTAAATCAAAACCACAACATTGTGAGCTTTACTGAGCATGGCACCACTTAGTTATATAAGGGAACAGTTCAGCGATGTAAGGTAATAAACATAAAGCATGTTAGAAATACTTGAATTCAAGATATTAGTACTCTGATATTTTGGCTTGTAATTAATTTTAGCTAGCAGAATTCTGTTTCTTCTTCTTTGTTTTTGATACATGACACTACTTAAAAAGGGCAAGAACAACATTTTCATTATGTTCAGGAGAGACAATTTTTGCTGCATTATGGATCTTTTTTTTAAAGATTTTATTGGGGAATCGGGGGAAGGGGAACGAACAATTTGCTGTCATTTTGTTCTTCAGTCTAGTTATGGAGGACGTTGCTTCACTGGCCCGTGTTGGTATTATCATTGCACTCTTCCTGGGTGAGGCAGATCAGTCACCAGCCTCTGGACAGCCACTCACGGCGGCTGCTGGCTACACATGGTAGCTTATGGCAGCCCACTGCAGCAGGGAACTGCAGCCTACGCCGTCGCTGGTGACCCATGACAGCCCAGCCCCAGGTCGAGCTGCCATTCACCATCTTAGCTGTAGAGGGCAGTGTCACTGGCCCTCATATGTGGGATCCAAACCAGGGTCCTCTGGGTTCCAAGCCAGTTCTTAACCAACACACCGCTCGGCCGGCCCCTGCATTATGGATCTTTGATAATCCATGTGTTCCATCTGTGTCCTAACATCTGCTTCATGTGTACGAGAATCTGAGACTATGAGATCTGTTCTAAAAGGAAAAAACTTAATATGACCTAATCTTCATAACATTGTAATGGAAACGGTGATTACTTTCAATGCTATATTTTCCAGTGTGAGTGAACAGTGTAAAGATAATTTCAAACGTTAAAAATGTTTTAAAAAGTCTATTTGCCTCTCTCTCCACCAGCAAGCCCACCTTTCTCATTGAAAGTTAAAAATCCAAATGAGGTGATCCTAACTCCTCTGAGCTCTCTCTAAAGGGTAGTGGAGTGAGATGAGCTGGGAATGTGGTATTTTTAAAAAATTATGTCACTTAAAGCAGATAATCAAGAATTTATTTCCTTGAATCAAAACACCAAAAGGAAAAATTATTTGAACAGGACTAGGACAGAGAAATATTTCCCTGAGTTACATCTAGCTGAGCTAAATCCCTACAATTTCTGATGGTTAATACTAGAAATATGTATATAATGAGCTTAACAATAACCCACAGCCTTCGGATCAACTAAGAAATATGTATGTTATGTAAAATTGATTAGGCATTTTTATAGTTTATTGTTTATATTGAACAAACTGTGAATATCTTCTTTCAAGAATTGGCTATACTTCTGACATTCTAAAATAAAAATTCACAAGGAATAAACTCTAGTCATTTCTCTGATGTTTGTGGCACATTTTCTGTGCTAATTTTCTCTTTTTGCTTTGTAAGATTTGCATGTGTTAACTCCTTATGGAAAAATAAAGAGCCTCAGCTTTTAGGCCTTCTTTCCTAAAGACATGACGGTGCTGTTTTGGTTGTACAGGCTCAGCTTGACCACGTTCCAAGAGAGATGAGTGGATGGATCCAATGAGGACCTTGAGAAGTTTTTCACTCTATCCACATCCTTCAAGGAGCCATGCAAACGTAACCACTCCAGCTCTCAGTGATTGCTTTCTCCTGTTTAAACCCTTTCAACTTGTATTATATAGACATAAATAGTATAGGAAACATGTTTTAGACAAGGCAACTGGCCAAAGTAGGTGTTTAATATTTGCCACATGAACAACTGTCACCAGTAGTTTCTATTGTAAAATGTATTTATACTCCACCTGATTTAAAAAATTTGATACATCTTATAAAAATATATACGTTATGGCAGACAGGAAATAACTGAGGAAGTTAGGGTGGAGAAAAAAGATTAAGAGATGAAGAGGTTGTACATAAAACTCATACAATAAAGCCATATGAACTTGATGTGGACTCAGCTCTGACCTTCTATTCTAGCAGGCAGTGCGGAGAGAAACACAGTGAGTTGTATGATTCATTATGTCTAAAGACATACCCAAAACCAGTTGTTCAGGAAAAGCATGGAAATTCCTGTTAATAAGATGTGAAAGAAATTTCTCTCATGGGTCCTCATAAAGGGTCACTAAGTCAAATACTGAGCACATCCTCAAACACGACCCAGAACAGATAGATGAATAGATTCTAGGTAAAGCTGTCTCTAAGAACACGTTTGTCAAATGTGGAGGGATCACTTCATAGGCACAGCTATAAAAGCAATTTTTAAACAGGCCCATACAATGGGGGTGCAGGGGAAAAGTCCATGTGTACACGCTCTCATGACCTGTAGAGGGCTGGGCAGTGTTAGTTAAGATGCCTGCCACGGCCATGGCCATCGAGGAAACGGCTTTGTCCACATCCCCACTGAAGAGACAACCATGGGCAGCGATGTTTTTCTCCTTTATCACCTCCGTACTGTCCTCCTCACCCCATGTGCAACCACAGCTGTTCAACCTTAGGAGGCAACTGACCAAAGGATGTGACTCCAGTGAGGGGCCAGCCCCTGACCACAGGGGCCTGGTGTAAAAAAGATGCCAGACAGCCTGTCGGATCCTTGTCTCAACCAAGGAGAACTGCCGGGGAGGCAGTAAGCAGCAGGCGCTGTAGCTATGTGATGCTTTGTCAGAGGGCAGGGGGTGGGATGAACAGGAAGCAGCAGAGCAGTGAAGAAGGTGAGTCACCAGAAACTATGAGGAAGAGGAAAAGACACACATGGAGGGAAAGAACCAGTCTCTGGGTGGGGAGAGGAGAGGAGAGGACAGCAGGCGTGTCGTCGTACCTGCACATATAGTGAGAGCACACAGGTGAGAACCTTAACTCCCTCTCAGGCCAACGCCCCAGAGCTGCTGGGAATCCTGGAATTGTCCAGTTCCCACCTCTGGGAGCTGGGCTCTGCCACTGTTCTGGCTCCTCCTGAGGTTCAGTGGTCAGCTTTTTCAGTAAGTCTGTCATCACTGGAGGTCACTGGAGGCAATCACTGGGTCTGAGTCCACCTGCAACAGATGAGCTGCATATCCTCCAGGCGCCTTGCATAAACTTTTTCAGCACCATGCTTGTAGTGGGACCAAAGAGCCAGGATTCATGCCTGTGCGGAGGCCACCCACTGCCGGGGGAAGCCGGGGGAGGGCTTCCCCAGAGCAGGACCAAGGATGGACCAGTGGCCATCTTTTCAACCATGTATATCCTTTCTTTCCAATCAGACTGTAGTTGGTCCCAAAGCCAAAGACCATATGTACAACCTCTTGCAGATATTTGTCCATTAGAAAGTATTTTATTTATTAGCATTTAGTGAGTGCTGGGTTGACATGAAACTAGATGCTCAACAGTATTGAGGGAGCTAATGCAGTGCTGCCGCTGGGTTGAATAGCAACTCCTTAAAAACTATTGTCCACCCAGAACCTCAGAATGTGACTTTGTTGGAAATGGGGTCCCATATGTAATTAGTTAAAATGAGGTCATATTGGATTACAGTGGTCCCTAATTTAAAATCTGGTGTCCTTATAGGAAGACAAAAAAACAGACACAGAGACACACACATATAGAGAAGACAGTCATGTGAAGACAGAAGCAGAAATGGGAGGGTTGCAGCTTTAAGCCAAAGGATGCCAAACATTGCCAGAAGCTATTAAAAGCCAGGAGAGGGGCAAGGAAGTGCTCTTTCCTAGAGCCTTCCGAGGGAGCATGGACCTCCCAACACCTTGATTTTGGACATTTACCCTCCCAAACTGTGAGAGAACAGATTTCTGTAGTTTTAAGCCACCAATTTGTAGTGCATTGTTATGGCAGCTCCAGGAAATGAATACACCCCCAAACAGTTTTTCCACCAGTGACAGAATACAGTGTGGCCCTCACTTTGGGGTGTTGAAGAATCTGATGGATGTGAGCTCAGAGATAGAACAGGGACTACCCTCAAACAAATGAGCAAGTGAAAAGCTGGCATATGGGAAATGATGGCAAAAGTAAACTAGCAAATGCTACCATTTTCATGTATGGACATGTCGTGGTAAGAGCTCTGATACAGGAACTTCGGATGTGACTTCAAATAAAGAGTTTGGTTGAGAAATTGAATCTAGGGAAGATACTTTCCAGAAAGAGACCTCTTTTCATTCCTGGAAGTGACAGCTACTGTGACAGGGCTATAGACGTCTTACACAAAGAAGCAGGAAACATCTGGATAAACGAATCAGCATAAAGCCCGATTCAGAAATGGAAAGCGGAAGCCGTGGGACAGAGAAGCCTGTGATTACAATTGCCAGAAGCAGAGGGGTTTGTTCCCCGCAGCCTGATCAAGTACCCAAATAAGTTTGCATTAGGGTCCCTGTATTCAGCACCTACTAGGTGCTGGCACAGGCTAGGTGCCTTAATTATGATTGAGTCTCACTCCTTACAACCACTCTTAGACATAGGTGTCATAAGTGCAGGAAGATGCACAAGGCAGCTTCCTGGAGTCACTGAGATGACTGACTCAGCCTTACCACGGCAGCCAACACTATGTAAGGAAAGTGGGATGTAAAACAGAAATAAAATACCTGGCCCTGCCTCACAGTATAAACTTGCAATAAAAGAACTTCTTTTAATGAATTATGTAAATTTGTTCCAGGAAATAAAAATGTTTCATTCAACCTTTACTATTCAACTTTGGAACTTGCTCCTGGCAAGTCAGGATTTAAAAGAACTCTAAATGTATCTCTATTTTATACATTGGGTTGAAAAGAGGAGCAAATTTTTAGGCAAATGGAGGGAAGTAAATTACATCTCAGTGTTCCACAAAACAATCTTTCTCTTAAAAATAATTTCTAAAGAGCTTTTTGTGATTAGATAAGCCAAGGACTGAGTATACACAACAAGAAGAAAATAGAAATATCAGAGCATAATTTTTTCTAGTTGTTTTAATTGTGAATTCATCCACTCAAGTTCAATTTCTTTCCTTTAAAAAACCAGGTTAATATTGGATGTTAAGTAGAGAAGCTAAGAGGCTAATCCAAAAAACATACATACAGCATATGACGGTAAACACCTTGTGATAAAGTTCTATAAAGCTGAGGCAAAGAATCTCAGGATCATTAGATCTGAGTTAATAGTAGTTGTGTTGTTAGTAAACTCTAAACAGAAACAGATGAAGAATGTGTCGAGAGGATGGCACCTTGAACAGAGAGTGAAGAGATCCAAGAAATAGTCCAAGCTGATGTCCATCTGATCTTGGGCAAGTTAACTCTCCTTTCCATGGATCTGTTGCTCAAGCAAGAAGTTGAAAATTCCAATGCCTGCTCCTCCATAATTCAATAGGATAATACAAAATTGTCAGGATAAATTAGCTAATGTATGGGATGTAAAGCAAGCTAAAGTCTTAGCAAAACAGCAACCACAGAGTGTATGTCACAGGTGCAATTCTGAGGACACATGAGGGGAAAAATTTTTTGCACTTGGTATAAAATCTCTAAGATTTTATAAACTCATCATCTTATTTGCTCACAAGCTGGCTTGGAATGAAATTAGGGTAGATTGTTATTTACTCAAGTTTTAATCATTATTTCTCAAAATTTCCTCCTCCTATGTTACTTGCACTCAGAATAATAGCTGGGAGTTTCCTGCCCTGTGTCCGGAACATTCGTTTGATTCAGGCAAATGGATATGTAATAGGGGTAGGTGATACGTGTTCAAGAATGAAAAGAACAGAAAGATGTCTCAAAATGATTAGACAAATTGTTCCCTTGACTTTCCTTAGCTCAAGAAGGGAAAAAATTATTACCAAGAAAATGATCTCCTCTCACATGCACCTCTTGAATCATGCATCAGTAGTAGTAAGCAGAGATCACTCTGGAGTCTCAAGGGACAGTGACAGCATCACAACCAGATCACCGCAAACCCAGTGGGGCTGTTTCTGGGATACTGCACAGAGAAATACCAGGAGGGAGGGGAATAAAAAAGATAACAGTTTTTTTGCCCCTAATTAATTTGCATAGTTTGATTTATGGCAAGGAAAGAAAACAAAGGTCATTCCCTGCCCAGACCTCAACAGTATGTTAAAGTATTTTAATATTGTAGCATGTTAAAACCAGGTAAAAATGAAGAGGGGAAAAAAAGAGAAGGAAAGTATCTGCCTGAAACATAATTCTCAGAATGCTTGACCCCTGATAGCAGGCAGAATAACAGCTTCCCAAAGAGGTCCATGCCCTAATCCCTGGAACCTTACAATATGTCAGGTTACATACTGAACGATTGCAAATGGAACTATGGTTGTTGACCAGCTCACTTTGAGATGGGGAGATTATCATGGACTATCTGGGTGGATCCAATGTAATAATCACAAGAGTCCTTAAAAGTGGAAGTGAAGCTGAAGAAAACGTCAGAGTGATGCGATCAGAGCAAGAAGAACTCAACCCTTGCTGATATTGAAGGG